GAGACCTTCAATTTGCACCGCTTCTTGGAATAGCCCGTCCCCTACTTGCCAAGAAATGGCAAGAGGCGTCTGGACCCGAAATTTCAATTTTTTTGGCTCTCGCTCTCAATCAGATACTTCGCTCTCAATCAGGCGAATATGTTGTTACAGGTAAATCTACATTTTACAATACATCCCCTGTAGTTCTCTACTGGGTCAACGACAAAACATCGGGGAGAATCCCTCCGTAGTGTCGTGTTCTGTAAGATGTAACCTTCACAGGGGACACGGCGCAGTGTCTATTGACAGCTTGCTGGTTTTAGGAACTTAAGGAGAAACAAATAATATTGATGTAAAATCATGGAAGATGAAAAGAAGGCTACAGCAGTGCATCACTCCTTTTTCAAACCTATAGATTTTTTAATTTCACGGGCAGTAGGTGTTTTACGCCGTTTTTTTGGCAACTACCAAAAAAAAAAAAAACATATTTGACCCTTTGGGGTAGCTTATCAGTGATGCTTACAGTAGAAGAGAATGGTACACCTGGTGCATGGTAGGTACGGCATAGCGTTCAGTTTGTATCGTGTTAGCTTGTTTCCTGGTATGTTTGGTGTTGGTAATCAGCATCAGTAGAGCACGGAAAGTGTTCAAGTGATATACATCCAATGTGGCCATTGTTGTCAACTTCCCTGGTGTTCCTCAGAGCCTTTTGCCGAGACACCTTGTCGCAACCATGTCGTAATCCCGTTGAAGAGCATCCGTCATGAAGGTCAGCAATAGCAGCGAGTGGCAGTTGGTCTCTCCGTGTGGAGCAGTGGTGTGGACATGTTGCGGAGTACGGCGAAGGATACAACACGTAGAAATTACCCACCTGGATACACAGCGAGCAGAGAAGACGATGTGTGTCAGCCGCGAGGTCAATATGGGAGAGCACCTTTGCACGAAACCCGATACAGCCTTCCCGCCTTGCCTCAAGTCCTATCGGAGGGGCTATTTATGTGGTACGACGGCAGGGATCCGAATGCCGGCTGCTCCGAACACAATGGGAGGCTTGCGGCAGGGATCAAACTGGGAATGTGCGAAAGGGGCTTCCCGACCATGGGCTCAACTGCAGATTTGGAGGCCATCGAGGTGTTGTATTTTAACCTGGTCATGTGACGTCATTTGGTCTACGTTTTAGAAGAAATTTCACTTGGTCATGTGACGTCATTTGTGGTCCGAGGTTAGAAGAACTCGGTTGCATGCAGCAATACAGCAATGATATTTTGCAAGGGACACGGGTCACTGTGTTCCCCCTTGCTAATGGACAATTAGGCAACTCGTTGCCGTTCTCATCCATCATCCATTCATTACTCTACTGCTTAAGTGTCCTAGTTTTGATGTTTCAAGTTTTTATTTTCTCGGGATTTCCTGTAAGAACTCATCCACACTGCATGTCCTTTCTTGCAAGGAGTACCCAATAAAACCGTGAGCTCCTGTCATTTTGTTCTTAATCTACCCTTGCCCCCACAAGTCAAGAAAATAAAAGTCATAAATCGACCCCATGGTAAACAAGATACCAAATCTTACGTTCTACTTGATACCAAAATTGTATTCTGGCTTCTGTACGCCAAGAATCCCTGACATGTATGCGTGATTTCCTAAAGAAGACCTGACGAAAATTATGTAGCATAGTGCCTAAAAGATTCGCCTTGTAATGGTGTGTTAACATATCTCTCATCAACATAGATAGCTAGCTGCCGCTCGCTCAAAATATTCAATACGTGTACAACGAACTGCAAATCTACACAACAACTGACTTNAGAAGACCTGACGAAAATTATGTAGCATAGTGCCTAAAAGATTCGCCTTGTAATGGTGTGTTAACATATCTCTCATCAACATAGATAGCTAGCTGCCGCTCGCTCAAAATATTCAATACGTGTACAACGAACTGCAAATCTACACAACAACTGACTTTGTAATACAGCATACTTCGAACGATAACTAGTTTTAGTCTCAATGTGGGGGAATCGGCGATACGACTTCAGAGAACTCATCGTGTCTCGTTTATCATACATTTGAACTTGAGAGCCTGCCAAGTCTTGGACTATTTCTATATCTAAAAAGTGCGCACTATGTCCTACTTGTTCCTGGGTCAACTCAATACTGTTAGGGATGAGATTGCCGTCTCCATCACTAATCAGTCGGTCATACATTCCTCCTAACGTTTCACTCATGCCTATGCCAAGTGGATCGTACGGAGTATCACCACGATATATGACATCCTTAAGTCTCAAACCATTGGCTTGTGAGGCCAAAGTGATAGTGATGATGTAATCAATATATCTCTTAGTCCTTACGCCATATTGTTCAATGAACACTCGAGGGTACATATAATGGGTACGACCACTATGTTGTGTTTCTCGGAACTCTGCAACCATCTCTTTATAAAACCTTAGATGCGTGTAAGCAAATATATTGGCAAGATCGGGTGCAGGTGAGGATCCCATAAATATGCCAGAAGACTGGCGATACATATACCTTGAGTGCTGTATGAGCGTCTCTGAAATTGGTATGGCCACTATGCGGGAGGTACTCTGGACCTTCTACAGTAGAGTTCAATTGTTCAGCAACTTCATCCAACACTGCAGAAAGCCATTCCTGGACCACGTGAAATTGGGTTCCAGCGTCTTCGCATAAGTTAGACACGAGCTCCGTAAGTGCATGTTGAATATTGTCAAAAAGTGACATATACCAACTTTCTCCCCGTCATCCTCGTCATCCTTATCACCAGTGAAGAGTTGCGGGGCATACTCAAATCGAAAACTAGACTGCAAGTTCAAGACCGCTGCGGCATTTGCATTTTGCAGGCAGGTCATATCCGTACTGATCACCCGAGAACCATCCTTCATTTCAACTGTTCAACTGCATATTTCTTCAATGGGTGTCATTACAAATGCAAGAGCTTGTACGTTCAGTCTNAGACACGAGCTCCGTAAGTGCATGTTGAATATTGTCAAAAAGTGACATATACCAACTTTCTCCCCGTCATCCTCGTCATCCTTATCACCAGTGAAGAGTTGCGGGGCATACTCAAATCGAAAACCAGACTGCAAGTTCAAGACCGCTGCGGCATTTGCATTTTGCAGGCAGGTCATATCCGTACTGATCACCACCCGAGAACCATCCTTCATTTCAACTGCATATTTCTTCCAATGGATGTCATTACAAATACAAGAGCTTGTACGTTCAGTCTCTCTCCCTACTCTAGTTGCATTGAGAAAAAGTTTATCCGTAGTCTCTCCGTACTTGAATCCCGGTATGATCTGGGAAGCAAGGTCATGAAAGGCACGAGCTTCCGGTGGAATTAGGCTCAGGATATTATCTCTCATGAGGATTTGCCTTAGCTGGACAACCTCTGCAAGAGCACTCGTAAAACCAACGATAAGCAACCGAGGTTTCTTTTTCATTGGTTTTGCAGGGTTTGGGAATGATTCCAAAATAAAATTGCCCTGTTGCGCGGGCAAGTGCGGCGCAATTTTTATGGGTGCCATGCCTCGAGCGAACCATTCCAATACTGGGAGTTCGGCGTTGGACGCGAAGCGTGTGTTGCGCGGGCAAGTGCGGCGCAATTTTTCAGCGGGTGTCCTCGTTGGTCCGTGGCTCTCTGTCTCAAGGCGCAGCTAGGTTTGTCTCTGCTCAGCAGGTGCGCTGCAGCACACACGTGCGAAGAGGAATGGCAGCTTCCGATGATGATCTGTACATGCTCCTCAATGTCGACAGGTGAAAAGAGTTTCGGTGCTGTGTCTCTCTGCTCCTCACAGAGGTTGCGTGGACGTACATGCGTTTTCGGTGCACATGACTCATCTCCCACACAGCGGCAGTTCAACGTGTATCAACACGATCAGTCACCCCGCTCTGGTCTGGTGCTTTGCAACTCCGGTCTCGTCTCGGTATTCAGCCTAACTCCTTTCTCCTCAAACTAGACAGCAGTAGTGCAGCATGCAGCAGCAGTGCACTGTTCGGCAGTCCGGAAATCAAGCTTTTCGTAGATCGTAGATCCGCTGCGGCTGTGCTGCATGCGGCCAGTCTCGCATGGCCCCAAGCTGGTGCACGAGGCCTCTCTCTTTCATGACTCCCGGCCTCTTCCTGTGCGCACGGGGAAGTGACAACAAGAGATCGTTCAACAAAGGAGGGAGAATAATGCTGTTGGTGTACAGATTGCGACAGCGCGAGAGACACCGCATCGTATGGTACGGCAGTCTACCTACCATGCCCCCTTGTCCCACCTCCCACCCCAACAATTGGCCTCACTTTTGCTTCGAAGCGTGCATCCGAGGGTGTGTGTGGTCACCCGGCGAGCGGGCGGGGCACATCGTCAACGCGTTCTTTGCTTGCATACACACGTAACATACATCTTTGCTTGCATGACCGCTGCTGTGGCTGCTGCTGACTACAAGCCAAATTGAGTGCGGAAAACTGCGGTATCACGGGAAAAGTCCCAAGTGAAAATCCGGCTCAGAGAGGCCCGAGGTTGGATGCTTAATCGGTAGAAGTCATTCACAGAGCAGCTACGTACGCCTTGGCAATCTCAGATCTGCTGGTGGGGCTGTGTTATCGAACGTTGCCGCTGGGTCCAAGTACTCCTCAGTTCTGGACCCTGATCCAAACCAAGCGTTCGTCACTGCGGTACTCGCCGCCACAAGCCCCTCAAACTGCCGGCGGTACAAGGCAGCCAGTATTGTGATATGAGCTACTACTGTACGCCCGCCATTCAGGGGATTAGGTATTAGACCGCGAGTGCAGCGGTGGAAGTTGGATAGTTTGCACCCAGATTTGCGGTATTTTCGGGCCGCAGCTGCAGCCTTTCATGTCACGGCCCCAGCAACAGATCTGAGTCCGCCACGGAGCATGTCGCTGCTCTACTCCACTGGTATGCCTATAGCATTGAGGTCGGGAGTCCTAAAATGCAACGAATATGTCCAAGGACCCGCCCTGTAGCCTGTTTCGCGTTGAATTTAGAGTTTTGGAAAAAATGTCTTGATTAGAGAGAAGATGTGTGGAGGTGGACTGCATATCGTAACGGGTGGAGACAAGTCACGAGTCCCAGCCGCTGCTCTCTGCGATAACTAAGGGATATTTCTTGCGATACTGGTCGTACCACTCTCGTGTGAGGTCTCCGAGTGTTCTGTCGCTGGTGTTCGGAAACAGCCAGAAAAACGGTTCTCTGGCCTGCAGCACCGCCTTAAATCGGTGCTAATGACGTAGTTGGGGTAGTTACTATCGTTGCAGGGGGTGGTATCAAGACCCCGCACTTCTTCTGCTAGTGCCGGTTGGCGAGGGGGGTGCAGCAGCATGTGCACATGTTGGCATGGGCCCAACGTTATTTGTGACGAGGAGAGGAGGGACAAGGGGAAAATTTACAAGAGGGGAGGGTGTTGACTTACACCCATACCAAGGGAGTGTATCGATTTTCGCTTACCACTTCACACGAAACGTTCCAGGACACGGGAGTCGCTTGCAATCGACCACTTTTCCGAAGCCGTTTGAAACAAATCGTAATTAGACGAATATCATACGAAGCTGCACTTGTGTTTTGACCCCTACGTGTGAACTATGATGGCACATCATTCATGCCATCGGAACTCTTCGTGAAGGACGGCGGATGCGGAGGAGGTTCGGCGGGCGTACCTCGGACTGGCGTTGTGCCTTCACCCGGATAAGGCGGTCGCCAGGCATGCCATCGCGCAGCAGCAGCAGGACCAGGTGTGTATTCCGGTACCTGTCACAATGAGTGAGCAGCGGGAGATAGCTAAGGAGAAGTATTCTAAGTACTGCTGTCGCAAGGTATGCAGGCTTGATTCATGAAGAAGGGGATAGGAGATGCTGCCCAAGGTGTGCCGCTGCAAGGTAAGGTGCACAGCGGAACACACTTTTCCGAGGTCAGATAGTTTGCAGCTGCCTTTGAGCAGAATTGGTTCACCTTCCTCTCGGGCCCCCCCTTCATTTTCCTCCACGGAGTGGGAGAAATCGAAACTCCCTGTGTTTCCTTCAGTGTAACTCCCCTGCAGTACGTGAAATACATACCGAAAGGGTGTACATGAAGGCTGGTGCCAGAATAGACAGGAGGAAAACACATACGAACACATACCGGAATGTGATCGTCGACTTGAGCACCAAATCGCGCGGACACCCCTTCTCACGAATGCGTGTTCCATGGCTAACGCAGCTACTGCTGCTGCTGCGGCTGCCCGATTGGTGACGCTCGGCATTTTTTTGCCAGCTGCTCTCCCCCGAGAACATCTTCTTACCGAGAGCGTCTTCTTTAGTGCCGTAATTTTCGGAGCCGGCTGGAATACGGCCGATTTGCCGATGCCAGCTTTGCAGCACGACACGCTCCGACGCCGACCAAGTAAACCATACCCGCTAGTTCTGAAAACCCGGAGAAAAAGAAACCCCATCCTCCTTTCTGACCGACCCCGCTCCCCAAACAAAACGAAATCGATAGGATAGGAAACACCTTGCTTAGCCACCTTTGGTAATTTATGAAGGAGCAATTGCCCATCGACGATCGTGGGAACAATGCTAGAGGACGTGTGGTCAACAGTAAAGGCATGCTTGACAAAAGTACTCCCCAATGGTCCGCCCTCTCGAGGAGGTGTGGTCAATGGTCAAGCATGCTAAACATGAGTACCCCCCCCCAAACGAACGGGTGAGCAGAACGACGGACCCGTCCTCGACCTGGCCAGCCGGCAGGATTCGATGCGGCGGGTTAGGAGGGCCGCCGACGAGCAATTCGTCAGGGTACAGCGAGCGTACCGGGTGCTGTGCGACCCGACCAAGAGGCTGGTGGGTCCCTTCGTGCGTGGGGCGGGCGTGTCCGGGGTTCTGCGGTAGATTGGTTGTGCTAGGAGGATGCACGCTGCTGTATACAGGCAGCGTTTCTTCTCCGAAGTTTTCCATCTTGTCACTGCAACATGTGCCCCTGCTCCGTCCTCTCGAGGACGCGTGGTCAATGGTCTATTTGCTAAGGTATGCGAAACATGAGAGTATGACTCCCCGCCCCCAGCCCTCGTTGCGGCTGTTTGTTTTTGCTTGTGGTGCTTGCAGCGGTCGGTGGCTTTGCTGGTGCAGAGGTTGGTGGTGTTAGTGCTGTTGCTGCCTGCAGCAGTCGTCGTGGTTGCTGTTGCTGTTGCATCTATTGTTGCTGCTGCTGCAGTTGTCCCGCCGCTCGCGGATACTCACTCGGTTGTGTTTTACCCTGATATATACCGGCTACCATGTACACAAGAAACTCCTGGTGTTGTCTAACTTTTGGGTTCTAATGATCTGCCATCACCGTGTGGGTGGAATTTTGCGCATGTGTGGCCGTGTGAGAGTGTTTCTATTTTGGGGGGGGTCTCATTTTGACCGCGTGTGGTTACCTTGAGTGTTGTCTCGTGTCGTTTGTGGTACCCCGACCACGTGCCTGCCGGTCGGATGCCTGCTTGTCGTCAGGTGTACGACGAGTACGGTCTTGAGGGGCTGGAAGCCTTCGAGCGGAGCGAGATTGGGAAGAAGAGCGTGGGCATGCCGCAGAAGCGTCCCGCAGAGGTGACCCTAAGCTGCTACTGCACTGCTTGTCTGTTGCCGTCGTCGCGGTTCTTGGCGTACCTGGTCTACCATGGCTTGGGTTTTTCGCTCGTCTGGAATGGGTTTGTGACACTACTTTGTGGCCACCCATGTTGGTCAGCAGCGCCTCAGTCCTTAGGCGTGCTCACGTATTCCGTAGCCCCCTCTCGTTCTCTCAGGCGTCACGACCTACGACTAAATACGACGTACTTGCTCTACCCAAGAGTTTGCAGAAGGGGGGTACGCGAGATCTATACTTCGTGACCCCGGATTTTTTGGCAATGATACTTTCTTTCAATTATTTCCGTCACACAACAAACGATCATTTTTTTGCGTCTACGACAACAGATGTAGCTGTTTTTTTTACAAATTAAGGCGGTAGGTACCATCCATGGCCTTGAGAAGATTACCAGCACGGCCTCGGCTCCCCCTAGACTCTTGAGTCTTGTGCGGACCATGTTCGGTTTTGAGTGTTCAAGTGCGAAAGCTCAAAACTGCACTCTTGTATGGCGACGATCTCACGCGACAATGCTCCAAGATGTTTCTTCGATATTGGTGTGTAGCTCGTTTTTTCCTTCTGTTGTGTGGCGTTCGTCCTGTGTGACCACGGCTGGTGCGTCCAGAGTGTGTTCTGGAAAGTTATAAGGACATCGTCCAGAATTTATAAATGGGATGACCAAATATGTGGTACTTGCATATGTATCGTCCTGTCTCGATGTGTTCGGCTCAGGTCCGACGTCTGCTTGACAGCCTTATGCGCGAGGCCGCCCAGAAGAGACAGGACGTCGCCCTGGCCACCTTCGGCGGCATGACAGCGGAGTGCGTTTGCCTTCCCATCGTGGACGCGAGCGGGAAGCTAGTCAAGCGGAACCTCTTGCCTGAGGTGAGAGTGGGGTGTTTGTTTCGCTTCTGTTCTTATTGTGTGTGATTCTTGTCACAGCACTGTCTACCTGCCCTTCTGCCGAAGGTAGGCGTGGTTTGTTTTTTCTTTTTTCTTTGCTTTTTTTCCCGGTCTCACAGCAGCACTATCCACCTGGCCGCACAGTGCCGCCTCCTGCTCCTCTGCTGTGGAACCACGACATGGGGTGTCGTGCGTACTTCACTGAGCTAGCTAGCTTTGCTTGGTACAAGTTCTCGCGAAAAATACTGAGCGATCGAAGGAGCGACGCATCCTCAGATGAGCACCCTTTATCAACCTCATGGAAGCAAGCGTGACGTATGTAGCTGCCGCAGAGTAATGTTGGCCAATGTCTTCTTGCCCCCGCCCCAGTCCCTCTCAGAGAGTATTCTGCGCAACATGTTTTCTCTCCCAAATATGGTTGCGCTCCCTTGTCTCGCCCACCTTTCCCAAACAATGTATTTGTCTGGGCACACAGCTCNCCCTCACATGCAAACCCTTTCGTCTGCTTTCGCACACCGCGTGTTCGTCGTCCGAAACAAATAGCTCGCGCGGCTCACGGTCCGGCAGAGCGTGCAAGTGCCCGTGGCAGACAGCACCAACATCACCTTCGGCGGCTATTCTCTCCACCACAACGGGCTAGGAGTGGGGTCGGTCTACCTGTCCGCACAGCATGACGTCACCGCAGAACAGGTGAGGAGGTGGCGTTTGGCCGTGTGTACAATGGGGAGAGCCAATCATCAGCTGGAAGCGTTCCAGGCACGGAGAAGCTCCCCCCCCCCCCCCCCCCCCCCCCCCCCCCCCCCCCCCCCCCCCCCCNCCCCCCAAGTCGCTGGAAGAATAGGAGTCTCGTCCAATCCAACAGTTGACGCAAGTGATTCGGCAACGGTTCCGGAGCGGAGACAGTACCAACTTCCTCTCATCTGCATCGCGGCGTAACACATACCCCCGCACGCCCCATGCGTGCACGTGCAGTGGGTAGGCTCCCTGGTGCAGATCGGCCAGCAGCCGAAGGTGGGCCTCTCGTGCGGCACGGCTAGCAAGGGCAGCTCGGGCGTCTCCGTGCAGGTGGGAGCTCGGGGCCACAAGCGTCACACGTCTGGAACTTTCCCCGCTGCTGTGCATCGGTTCTACCGCAGGACAAAATATCCTGATATTCTCTACTGGCGTATCTAGATAGGTATAGGCATACCTAATTAGGGGTTCGCTAGTTGCTGTAGTTTGGTTTCATGCATACCCTGCTATGGCATATGCAACCTAGTTCTTTGAGACTCTAAGTCGGCTTATGGTTCCATTGGAGGTCGTTGGGTGTTGGTGTCGGGCCAGTTTGGCGACCCCAGTGTCCCTCTTATCTCATCGCCTTTGACACGTTTCTTGCGCGGTGGTGGTCGAGCGGGTGGTTTTTTCGTGTTACGCTGCTATTGTAGCTGCTTTTCGAACCTTCTAGGGCGTTCTCACCTTGCTGTCTCTTCGCAGACGAGACCTGGACCTGTCAAACCGCGACCGCAACGTGTAACCGGTCGCCTCGCTGCTCCA